TGCAGGTCCTGAAAAACACAATGAGTGGGAAAGAAAGTTATGCTGCAATTCATTGACTTTGTTAAGCTACTAACAGATAAGAGGTTTGTATTAAGCTTAGGGACATGAAGAACAGAAGATAAGAACAGAGTGCCAGAGGTCTTTATATCACCTTTACCAAAGATGGGGGCAAGGGACCCATCGGCAAGGGATATTTTCTCTTTCCCAAAGAGGAGGTGATAAGAGCAAAACAGGTTAGATAGGCTGGTCATATGGTCTGATGCACCGGAATCAATAACCCAAGGGATTTTATGATTACCTGAAGTTGAAGCATGATTCGCAGAAGCACGAGTACCTGAGTGAGCAAAAGCCGATGAAGATGTACTGTTGGAAGGGTGAGTTGAAGAAATTGTAGCTTCCAGGTGATTTAGGAGCCTCCCATACTTCTCAAAATCCAGCTTCATTGCAGCCAACTGCTCAATAGTTGATTTTTCTTCGCTTTCCTTACTTCCCCCTTCAGGCATTGTAGCAGCATTAGCAGTCTTGGATTTTCCCACCTAACTGCCCTTCTTAGGGTTATTATTGTTCTTAAACCTATCAGGAAGAAGTTGAAGATGAAGCTTCCAGCAGGTGTCCTTTGTATGTCGTGGTTTCTTGCAATATTCACATATTTGCTCTCTTTTCTCAGTAGGGCCCTTCGGTTTCATTCCCGCATGTGCAAAATGTTCTGTAGATGGACTCTGCAACTGCACCTTCCGCCTACTCTCCTCACTACCTCATCCCTGGCCAAAATGTTCTGTTTGATAATATCAAACTCAGGGTTGAGTCCAATGAGAAACTCAAACACCCTATTTCTCTCCACTAGCTTTCTATACATTTCAGCATCCTTTTTACTCTCCCATACCACTGTCTCCATAACATYAATTTCYTGYCATARGGATYTTAGTATAGAGTAGTAGATTGCCACACTCTTCTCCCCCTGTCTCAGGTTCTTCACATCACTTTTCAATTTGTATGCTCTAGCTACATTCAGTTTTTGTGAATAGGTCTCAGTTACACTGTCCCATATCTTCTTAGTCGAAGATATCTAGAGATAGTGTTGGCTTATATGGGGTTGCATAGAGTTGACTAACCATCCTATAACAGTATAGTTCTCTTGTATCCATCTTTCAAATTCAGGGTCTGTCTCTTCGGGTTTCACCTTGCTACCTATGAGATACCCGAGTTTTCCTCTACTACAAACATAGATTTTTATAGACTGTGCCCAAGCAAGATAGTTTGTCCCATCTAGCTTAATTGTGGTAACACCAGTCAAAACGAAATCTACTGAAGCAGGTCCAGAAACTGGCACCTGCTTGAACTCACTTCCGTATGCCTCCATTAATCAAACGGAAATCAAAGAACAAAAAATTTTGACTATGTAAACTTACTTGAAGTCAAACCAGAACTTAGGTACTTGAAAAACTAGGGTTTTGCTCCGTCCAGCAGATGGGAGGAAGAGAGAAGACATTGTCGTACCCACCAGACTAACCCAAACTCTTCCAAACCTGAACCGCCCTCCTTTAGCAGTCACAAGACACCTTCCAAGCACAGAGCGCCACACCCAAACTTCACCTTTCCTGGTAACCTCGAAAATCTCTAGTCGGCTAGGGTTTTGGGCAGCAGCAAAACAACATCACTTCTTGGCAAAATCTGGCCAGAACTAAACTCTCCAAACCCTTCTACCAACTAGGCAAGTGATTCTCTATACTATAGAAAACCTATCTCTCCATACACTCTCTTGATTTTAGAGTGTACAGGAACAAAG